GAAGGGAGAGAGAGAGAAACATCAATGTGAGAGAGAAACATCCGTCAATTGCCTCCATTATGTGCCTGACTAGGAAATTGAACCTGCAACCTTTTGTTGCACGGGACAGTGCTCCAAATAACTGAGCCACCCGGCCAGGGCTAAAATCTTTCCTTTTTAACATTGAAGACATATCAGACTAAGCTTGTAGGATACTCAAATAATGGAATTATTTTACATTACATGCATAATCTTCCTTTTTTGGGGGGTAGAGATTTGTCAGTAACACTAAAACTTTATGTATTTTCACAACAAAGTATTAAAAGAGCAATTGTACTTTCTTAAATTATATATTGTCGCATGACTTAATCATTTAATTGGCAATTATTCTTATATTTCCTGTTCATAAAAAACATTTAATCTTGCTTGAGTAAAACTTAGGGGCAAAAATAGTAGTGGTTTAGGTGATAACATACCTCAAATTAGAATGTTTGCTGCTTAAATTGGTCTGAAATATAAAGCAGAAGGGAAATTTACATGTTGGGTTAAGATACATATTGAATAAAAGTCTGTTTACAGCTAATGTTATTGTAACTTTTTTGAATTCTCCTTTCTTACAAAGCAGTGGAGGATGATGGAATTTATAGAATTTCATTATTATAGCCATGTACTTCTAAGAGGGTTCTTTTTCTATTTAGGGCTGATCTCTTTACTTTTTCCCTTCAGAAACTTCATTTCAGTTATGACCTTGTTCTTTATATTGTCAGCCTCTGTGATTTAACTAGGTCCTTTCAGCTTGTAAACATATTTAAGCCTCTCACATTAAACTAGAGGCCTGGTGCACAAAAATTTATGCACTGTTGGGGGGGGGCAGGGAGAAGGGCCCCTCAGCCTTCCCTGCCCCTCTCTCAGTCCAGGAGTCCTCAGGGGATGTCCTACTGATGGCTTAGGCCTGCTCCTCTGCGGGAGACGACTGGGCCAAACGGGAAGGCGCCGCCCCCATCACCCTGCTGCTGCTGCTGCTGATGCTGCCAGCCGCCATAGTTGCCTGCCCTCGGCCCTCGGCCCTTGCAGCCGCTGTGGCTTTGTCTGGAAGGACGTTCGGCTGTCTGGTCTAATTAGCATATTATGCTTTTATTATTATAGATACTACACTACTATTTCTGCAAAAAAGCCCCTCCAAAGCCCCCCACCTCCCCAAACTATACCTTTCTTTCTGTTGTATATTTCTCCTCCTCACTTTTTGAAAGATTCATACTTTATTCTTATTCACTTTCTTGCAATCTGGAGTCCTGCCTCTGCACTCTTAAATCACGACTTTCAGTTCTAAGCATTATGTGACATTTAAACAACCAAGCTCTAATGTCTTGAATCTTCCTTTTTTCTTTGTTTTCTGACACCATAACAGTTCATTTTTAATCTTTGTTTATGGTTGCTCCCCACCCCCCACTTATTCTTGAAAGGTTGGTTTTCCTCATATTTAATCCTTAATTTTCTTCTCTTATTTTATATTAGAGACCCAGTTCATGAAATTCGTGCACTGGGGGAGGTGTCCCTCAGCCCAGCCTGCACCCTCTCCAATCTGGGACCCCTATGGGATCGGACCTAAACCGGCAGTTGGACATTCCTTTCACAATCCAGGACTGCTGGCTCCTAATCGCTCGCCTGCCTGCCTGCCTGATTGCCCCTAACTGCTTCTGCCTGCCAGCCTGATCACCCCCTAACTGCTCCCCTGCCGGCCTGATTAACACCTAACTGCTCCCCTGCCAGCCTGATCTCGCCCCCAACTGCCTTCCCCTGCCAGCCTGATCTCACTTCCAATTGCCCTCCCCTGTTGGCCTGGTCGCCCCCAACTGCCCTCCCCTGCCAGCCTGGTTGCCTCCAACTGCCCTCCGCTGCAAGTCTGGTCCCCCCCAACTGCCCTCCCCTGTCAGCCTGGTTGCCCCAACTGCCCTCCCCTGCTGGCCTGATCTTTTCCCAATGGCCCTCCCCTGCCAACCTGATCTCACCCCCAATTACCCTCCCCTGCTGGCCTGATCTTGCCCCCAACTGCCCTCCCCTTCTGGCCTGATGGCCCCCAACTGCCCTTCCCTGCAGGCCTGGT